AAGATTTGCGACAAGTCGACCTTGTTTTATTAGCATGAGATTTGACATGGATGTTATTTTGGGTATGAACTGCCCTAATGTTTATAGATGATTATAGGTTTCCATGGATGATTTAATTGATGACTATATGCCCAAATATGTTATTGAGGTTTAGTGGTATTAATGGCATGCCATATAGTCTAGCAGCTACAGAGTTAAGTAATACTATAGTGTCAAATAAGATACATTTACTACGGTGCATTATTAGGTGAGCGATGCTCGACCTCAGTACTTTTGTGCACTATTTGACTCCTATACCAGGTTCCTCATAGATTGAGAATTGTAGGCAATAGTTGTGGATGTAAATGATTTTATTATATTATGTTGTTTTGATTTTTGACATTGAAATTCATGCATGAATTGTATTGCACTGTTTATTGTTTTAATTGTCTCACTAAGTATATACTTAGCGTGTGATAGTGGAATAAAGAGTTTAAAACGACATAAAATATCGAGGAATATTTTTCAATATCAGTAAGACATCCTATGATGAAATGTTGACTTTATTAGTGGAATGTACTTATTAATGTTCTATTTGTTTTGTTGAACATATTTGGAAACAAAATTGTAACTTTATAGTGATGAAATGTTAAGTTTTTATGAATTTTATCTATATATATATTTTGCTGAAAATACTGTAGCAGTGATCGATACACTGCTACAGTGCATCGATACACAATTTAAGTTCGAAGTTTTTGTGCATTGGTACACTGTTCACGGTACTGTAGTAGTGCATCGGTACATTGTTTACTGTTCACGGTACTGTTTATTATTATTCACAGTACTATTCATAAAAAAATATTTTGCCCTAAATTTGTTATAATGAAACATAATTAATATGATATGATATTTTTATAATATCATTTATCATTTTAAGAAAAAAATTTAAATAACTTTTGAAGAGGAAATGGTTTTAGAAATTCAGGTGACATCTATAATTTGTATAGGTATAATTATACGAGTGATGGGTGTTAAATAGATTGTGCTATAGTTTTATGTTTTATGTTTTTTGAGCACCATGATATCAGATTGTTGCCAAGGAACACACACTGCCCAGAGATTGACCTTCGCTGTTCAAGATTGCTTGCCCAATCAACATCAATAAAATCAACAAGCTTGGACGTTAGACTATCTACATGGAAGACTAGACCATAATGTATTGTACCCACTAGGTAACGCAAAATGCGTTTAACAACTACCCAGTGTCCTTCACACGGTTTGTGCATATATTGAGCTACACGATGCACACTAAACGCTACATCTGGTCGAGTGTTACTTGGGGACATCAGACCACCCACGATACTTCGAAAGTGTTGCCCATCAGTAAGAGGTTTTCCTGATTCCTTTGTGAGCTTTGGTGATAACACCATGGGAGTGGTGGCAGGTTTAGTTCCTGTCATTTTCGATCGTTCAAGTAAGTCACGAATGAACTTTTGCTACCTTAAAACAAGCCTATCCTCACATCTCGTAACCTCAATGCCAAGAAAATAGCTTAACGCCTTTAAGAAAGAATTTCTCACCCAGCTGCTGAACTACCATTTCAATTGCTTCAGAATAATCCCCAGTGACTACTATGTCATCAACGTAGACGAGAATAACTACATGACTTCCACCCTTGCATTGAATAAACAAAGAAGCACCGACAACTGATTCTTGAAAATCTAGGTCGAGCAGAAAACGACGAAGTTTGGCATACCACATCCTTGGAGCCTCTTTCAGTCCATATAATACCTTCTGAAGTCGACAAACTAGAACTTCACCATTGACACCTTTTTGTTCGAAACCAGGAGGTTGGTCAATGAAAACTTCCTCACCAAGGTCGCCATTTAAAAATGCGTTATTTACGTCCACATGACGCAGAGGCCAGCCACAAGAAACAACAATAGAAAGAACAACATTTACTGTAGGAGCTTTGACCACTGGACTGAAAGTATCCCCAAAGTCACAAAAAGAAGTTTGAGAGAACCCTTTGGAAACTAATCGAGCCTTGTGCCGATCCACAGTGCCATCTTCCTTTTTTTTTTTTACTTTAAAAAGCCCTTTACAACCGATAGTCAAACGTCTAGGGGGTAATGGTTCAAGCTGCCAACTTTCGTTTTTAACTAAAGCATTGTACTCGGCAAAAACTGCTTGCTTCCACTGTGGAGATTGGAAGGCTTGATAAACTATAACTGGTTCATCAACATCATCTCGAGGTTGAGAGGCAGCAAAGTATACTTTGGGTTTAAATATTCCTGCTTTGCTTTGGTTTACCATTGGATGATGGTTATGAGTGTTCCCAGGCATATGGTGTGCATCTATAGGTACTTCATGTTGATCAGGTACCAAGGTATCAAAAGGTTGATTGCTGTCAACAAACGCTGGACTAGAACCTTAATTGCACAACACATGAGTACAAGACATAACTTCCCTTGAGAAACACATCATGGGTGTGAAGGAATCTATCAGATCCATTGACCATTGATGATGACACGTTCATTAAGGATATTCGATTCTCCATTGGCGATGACAGTCATATTAGTTTTTGGGAAGACTTCTGGATCGACGTTCCATCTTTAAGGTTGTCATTTTCAAAAAACAAATTTGGGGTGACTGTTAGAAAAACTGATAAGGTTTTTGATTTTGACTATAAGGTTAACGGGTCATGGACTTGGAATATTAAGATTAGGAGAGTTTTGTTCGATTGGGAGTGTAGAATCTGGGATGAGTTTATGTGCATAATTAACAGAGTTGTGTGGGGTTTTCATGAAGTAGATAGATTGATTTGGGTCGGATCTCTAATTAGTTTGTACTCTCCAAGCATCTATTGCAGTACAGATGTAAATAGTGGGGTTGAGTCCAACAAATTTTGGAACCTTGTTTAGGCTGAGTTAGCCCCTCAAAAGGTTCAGGCATTTGCCTAGAAGGCTGTCTTGCAAAGGGTACCCTCGTTTGTGGAATTAGCTAAACGGGGAGTGATCAGATCGGATGTTGTTCTTTGTGGAACCATGTTTAGGCTGAGTTAGCCCCTCAAAAGGTTCAGGCATTTGCCTAGAAGGCTGTCTTGCAAAGGGTACCATCGTTTGTGGAATTAGCTAAACGGGGAGTGATCAGATCGGATTTTGTTCTTTGTGTTTTGTGTCGCAAGAAGCCAAAGACGATTAATCACTTATTTTATCATTGTGAGGTGATATGGAGAAGCTGACAAAGATGGGCCTCGGGTGGAACCACACTTTTATCTGCCCTGAAAATGTTAGAGCCTTCTTATCAACGTGGGTAGGACAATCGATCAATAATTCAAGTAAGCATATATGGAATTTAGCTTTATTTTATTTTAGTTGGTCTATTTGGTTAAGTAGGAACACTGTTATTTTTTACAAGAAAAGCTACGACGAAGATATGTTATTTAGTATGGCTATGACAAGAATAGGTTTCTAGTATAAGTATAAATGGTCATTCCCTTGTTTCTCGATCTCCAATTTCATTAGTAGTCCTAATGTCTTCGCAGAATGCTGTCAGCTGTTTGGTTCATAGTGTGATTATATGTTTGTTTTTGCCTGTTTTGAGCAATACTGTTCTTGTGCTTTCTTGCTGAAGTATTGTACAGATAGAGTAGTTTTTGTGTTGGTTTCTGAAGGGACTGTTTTGCGCGGGGAGATGATCGAATCAAATCAACGTGTCAGGTTTCGAGTTTCTGCAGTGTATTCCGTCTGGGTTGGATGGGGGACTGCAGCCTTGGTGTTTATTCGCTATGGTTTCTCTGTTGGTGTGTATGCATCGCCCCGGTTAGGACGTTAGAAGTCCTGTGTAAATTTTTAAAAAGAGACCTTTAAATATCAATTTTTTTAAAGATGATTTTATTAACTAAAAAAATGAGGTAATCTTTACAGCTATAGAACAATATTAATTATTGGTATTTCACATATGACTTCAATAAGATTCAACCGTAGGTTCTGTGATTTTTGGCCCAAAAAATTTACCACTGATCCATAACACTTTGTTTGTATTTTTATTATAACAATAGTAATAAATCTAATTTTTTACGACCCTTATTATTCCAAGACCCTATTCCGTCGCGCATATTACCCTTTCCTAACCCCGCCTCTGCATCGCCCTTGTTATGGGTGTGGTTTATACTCAGAAATGTATTGATTTGACATTTATTAGGTGCACTTGTTCACTTAGGGAGATTTTTTAATAATATTTTTTTTTCGTCGAGTTTTTGTATGTATTTATTATATTAATACATACAAAACTCTCCTCCTTTCAAAAAAAAAAAAAAAAAAAAGAAGAAGGCTACGGTGTCTGTGGACCAGACATCCGCAAAAGACTTATTATGACATTGATCACGGTATGATGAAAAAAGATAATTAAGAGCTTCTTTTTCATTCTTCGAACAGTCCCGAGCTTGAAGTGAAGGAATTGCTGCAAAGAAACAGGCATTAGCATGCTAATTAGTATGTTGTTTGTGGAACAAGCAACAGGTAATTAACTCATTGAACATCCCACATGCCCATCAATCTTCAAATATCAAGTCTTCTGTTGTGAATCATATCAATAAGAAACATACTCGAAAAAAAAACCAACCCTTCATGAACCGATAAAGCAACAAAAGTAAAGAAAATTGAACCTTTTTGAGGTCCTTGTCAAGGGTGTAGTGGAAGGTCCGAGTAAGTGGTAGTGGAGATGTTTTTGCTTTCATTTCTGGGTTCAAAGTCTAATTTTTCTTCTTTGGATTCTTCCTCACCTGTTCCATTCTGAGCATCAACTTCAGTTGTTGCGTTGTTATAGACTTGCAAGGCTTTTCTTAAGCTGAGAAACTTGGGTAAAGGGAACTTTGAAAAGCCATAGTTGCAGAGAGGCGTTGACATCAACGAGTACATGTTTAATGTAGTAAAAATATGGTCTATTTGGTTCAAAATCAATATCAAGCAGTTTAAGTTTCATTTCGGTTAAAACTTTAATGCATTTCGATTTATTTTAGTGTGTTTTGATCCGTTTTATAGATATATAATTATAGATTCATAGTATGGAAAAGAAAACATAGCTCAATCTCATTTCCAATAACTTTGTTTATCCCAAATGGCAAATGTATCATCGCATTAGTACATGTTCGTTCTAGTTGTGTGCTCCATTTTCTTGATTCTCTATGCATTGATTTCTGCTTGAATTTGTTTCAGGCCTTTCCCCTTATTTTCAGGAACCATTGCGACAACAAACAATATTCCAAGTGCACATATTGCAGCATAAAGCATGAAGGTACCTGTGAAATCCACGAATTGCAGATAAAAATTCAAAATTACTGCTTAAATTTGTGGGAACTTGAAGATCAAATAGAAGATAGCTGTATTCTATTTACCGGAGGAGCTCCAGCCCGTGAGGGAGTTGAAAGAGTAAGTAACTGCCCATCCACAAAACCAGTTCACCAGTGTTGCTAGGCTTCCAGGTACTCCTTTGATGCTTATCGGGAAAATCTGAAACCAAAATCGAGTATGAAAATCGGATACGGGTCGTATTTCTACGTCCATGTTTGGATACGTGTTGGACATGAATGTCGAATGCCGATATACATACCTCAGACATGACAACCCAAGGAACTGTAAAGAACTAATGTATATCTGATCCCAACTAAGATTAATGTCAAAAAGAAGTGGTAAGTCATACTTTGGCAATGAACAAATTGAATGTATATATATGAATCCGAAGAAGTATTTTTGAGATTTACCAATATGCCTGCTACAGAAAGAATGGGAACTGAACTTGGTGCCAAATTATGGTCCTTAAGATAGAATGCAATCCATGATAGAATACAGGAAAGGACCAATCCTGTTGAAGAAAGCTGTAATGAAAACAAAACGATGATTAGTGAAAAGGATTTAGCTCAGTAGTCTAAGGACATTGGTGATTGTTCATTGATCTAAATGTGTACCAGTATTTGCGGCTTTCTCCCAGCCTTATCGATCATAGTTGTGCAATGCGCTGTAATCGGAAGCTGCATAAATGATTGATTAGATCAGTTGTTTACCAGGAAAATTCACATGGATGTAGAGGAAAGGAGGAGATGAAACCTGAAGAATAGCATAAACTATTGTCCGTGTACTGGAAGAGACTCCTGAGACATTTAAAGTACAAAAGCTGAAATGCTAACGATAGGAGAGATTTGAGGCCAAATGCAATCAGGGTGTAACTCGAACGGTTCGATTACCTGCAGACTCGAAAATATTGCTGAAATAAAAGCAGATGCCACTGATTCCTCCAAAATGTTGAAAGAACATTAAACCAACTCCTATCTGATCAAAGATAATGAAGGACACATTCGTCAGGATACAATAGTGAAGACATGTGATTGCCAATGCTTAAAGAAGATCAGTTGTAATTACAATGACTGAGCGTAAGTGTCTTCCTTGAAACAAATCCAGCATTTTCGTTTTCGGAAGCCGTTCAAGAGTCTCTATATAGTCCAGTCAAGCATGAAAACAAGTCAATTTTTACAAAACAAATTCTCTATAATGCTGTAACTCATTGTTAATGCTAGTTAAGATGATAAGAGTTCAGACTAAGAACCCAAATCTCAGCTGCCTCCATCAATATATCAGAGTCCTTGCCACGAAGATTTTGTAGTGCAGCCTCGAATTCTTTTTCATGTCCTATCTTTGCCTGCATTATATCCAAAAGTTTTTATCTAGTTCCCTTTCATGTTACTATAATTTCATGTAAAATAGGATTCTATCTTACCAGCCATCTAGGAGACTCTGGAATGAAAAAGAGTCCAACAAGCAGAATTGCAGAAGGAACGAATCCTGCAATCAACCGCTTATAAGTCCGGCTTTCTATCATCTAGCTTTATGAACATGCACACATACACATACGCAGACACACGATTTCTACGAAAAATGTTGTGTTCCACCATGATTACTTTGAATAGATGGATAAAGAACTTTTACCAGTTAATGCTAATGTCCTCCAAGTTATAACTGTCCCTATTATGAAGGAGACCGACAGTCCGGTGCAGATCAGAAGCTGTAGAAATAAGAAGTGAAATAACACAAAGGTTTGTGCTTACTTTATTGGCTTTTAATTTATAGTCATTCATATGTAATTCACATTTCAGTTGATATTAAGATAAATTTTACCTGGTTTACAGCTGTTAGTGCTCCTCGAAGATTCTTCGGTGCGATTTCGGCTATAAATACTGGTACCTTGTCAAGAAAGGCATCATGGTCATGAATAACAACATAGGAGAAGATTCCCATGCCATAGCCTGTTGCCAGTCTTCCAATATCCAAAGACAAAGCCCCCTTTTTGTTTTGATCGAAGACATCAAAACAGGTTAGCGATATATTTCTGCATAACCGATTAATTTGTAGCTTAAGCAATTGTAAATTCAGAGGTGAAGCAGTATCATAAGTACAACCTTAGCGAAGTAAATAGCAAGCCACCCTGCAACAGAGAAGCCAGTGGCTGTTCTCATTGCCTGCACATATTTAGTAATCAACATAATGCTACATCATATAATAATCTATACCAAAGGAAAAAGAATTTACTAAAACTTACCCCTTTCCGACCAATGGAATCAGCCATCGGTCCACTCGTGATTGCACCGATCATAGCACCGAAAGTCAGTAAAGAACCAAACACTGAATACTGAAGATTCAAAGATCAAATGCATCAGTTATAAGTAGCTTGCTTAGAAAAGGTCACTAGAGTTTCAAAATATGTACCTCTTCTATTGTAACAGAAAGATCTTTCATAATTTCAGCCTGAGTTGGTGATGAAAAGCCTGCCTGAAAACAATTTCAACATCTTATCACAACTTATGGAAGTAATCATTACAAGCAAAGCTCATTTTCTGGTGTAGAGAGTAGTGAGGGAGACTTACCCAGGATCCAAACTCGAACGACCCACAGACTGAGACAATGGTGCTGAGGTAAACCATCCATAGATTTGCTTTGCAGCTTGTTTCATCAGTCGAATTCTTCTGTTCTAGCAGCAGTGGTATGCTTACATCCTCTTGGATGGTCATGGTCTCTGTCTAATAGAGAATAAGGTTGAAGCAATGTATTCAAGATGAGGAAAATTGGGAAATTTTATCATGGCAGTACCTTTTTATCAGCTTGAAGCAATGTTGTTGACTGTTGTTGAGTTGAATCAAGACAGTAGATTATTCGAAGTCCAAGATAGATGGGATCATGGTTGACACCAAGCAGTATTAAAATAACAATTGTGATGAGAAAAAAGAGACAATTTGATCCGTTTCCCATCACATGCATTTGTTTTTTTCCTGTTCATAGATGCACGTAGATAAAGCTAATGAGAAAACTCTGACAAGAAACAATGTTTAATGCCATGCAGATCAATGAGCTGTTTACGGTGTCGTTTAAAGCCAAAAACAAACAACAGAAGAAACAAAAACTAATCACGCTTTGGTCACGAAGTCTCAAGTTCATCAACCAGACATAGAATCCTGTCTCCTTAGAACTCAAGGATACAAAGGCACGAGCCTATAGAACAGATCCTGTTCAAGTAAGGTCGTGTCCTATCAGCTCCTAGTTCCATATTAAATACCGTTTTAATTTTTCTGCTCCTTCCCATATGGCATTTTGTACAGTTCTTGACAAAGCAGTCGCTGTTTTCGTTTATGGCTGCCTTGCCTGCCACAATCATTTAGTCAAACATAACTATGTAACCCTAAAAATATATTTTGTTATATCATCCCTTCTATAACAGTATTTTTGTAACTCTAGAACTAGTGGGTTATTAAGCCTCTTTAATGCTTTCTTCATAGTTTATTGCCTTAATTTTGAATTATACATTTTCTTTTTTCAAGTGATTGCAGATTATTCTTTAACTCATCTCTTTCCAAATGACGACTTTTACAATGTTGGAGTAAAGCTGTAACGTAAAGTTCCTTTTTTTCAAAATTAAAGTATTTAACATTAACTATTTAGAATAAATAAATAGCATTAATATACCATGTAAATGCAAAGAACAAGAGAAATAACATTTAAGCGTGTCTAATAATAGATACCTAATCATTATCGTTGTTATTAAATGTCAAATTTTAGGATGGACATATAAAGAACAAATATATCCGCCACTGAATCTAATAACCAAAAAATAATTCTTGAAAAATAGACAGATAGCATTGAATGAGGAAAAAATTTCAAACGGAAAATATTAAATCTTAGTTGTGTCGTGAAGAACTACTGTATTAGAAGTAAAATTGTTTTAATTGATATAATTGTTTAAATGGGTGTTGCCCCTTAAAATTAATACAACTTTTCAATTTTCGTACACCCAAATATAAGTGGGAATCAATTAATTTTGTTCTTCTCATAAATATGGACTTGAGGTTAGAAATATTCTCTCGGTTATTATGCAGGATTAGAAAAGCATACTCTAAAATAATAGAATAAGAAAGAAATAAGTTTATCTAATTGTTGTCGTATCTAGAAAGAGAAACTAATTTTTATTTATAGACTCAAAAGTAGGGATAAAATGATAAAATACTCGATAAAGATTATAAAATAATTTAAAGTTAGAGGCTTCTCTGTAAGGTTGTGTCGACACGTATTTTCGTCCGATCGTGTTATATGGCATTTACGTGTTAATTTATGCTATGTGTTATTCTTTATAGTATATAGTATATATGTATTATATTATGTAATATATACATACTATATTATATATTATATATTATAATTATATAACATATATTACATACATATATTAATTTGGTTCCATTCATTTACATGGTCAGGTCCAACAAATACAAGCCCACCAAATTACAAAACAGTGATCCAACATGCATCAGTGGTCCAATCCCTTGTAGGTCGGATCTGGAACCCGACCCGAATTGAATAATTAGGGTTTCTAAAACCCTAACTTTCCATTTTTTCACTCAACGCCATTCCAGCCGCCTCACCCGAAGACTACTCACGCCTCCCTCGGCCGTTTTTCTCGGCTCAACATCGTGCGTTAGTGGGACACCAAGACAAGCCAGAAACAAACAATAACAAGCATTTTAGTTCGAGTAGAACTCTAGGAAATCGGAACTAAAAATAGTAAATCATAGGCTATAAATTGATGTAAAAATCAACAAGAGAAACTACTCAAAAATTACACAAGAGATTACTAGAGGAGATGCGCAACAAAACAGTAGCACCCAAGACTTGTATTTTCGAAACGAAAATAAAGAAAAGAGGTATTTTTTTTACCTATTTCAATTCGGTTGTTGCTTGCATGTGATTTATTTTCTCTGTTTTTTATTCGAGAAAACAAAAAAGAGGGTTTGGACCGATGATCGGGGGGAGGGCACCCGTGGAGTTTTCCTTAGATCTAGCCCTCCCCGAGGCCATTTTTCAAAAACCGACCTTATTTTTGAAAAGAGGAGGAAAAAACCTTTCGAATGGTGTAAAAAAAATTTTGGGCCACCGTCGATGAACAGCGGTCGGCGAGACGGTGACCACCGAAATCTGGGTTTGGTGGTTACTGTGTTTTCATTTGTTGAAGAACACTTTGAAAGTTGAGTGAAAAACTAAAATGGGGGCTTTGGTTTTGAAAAGTGAAAAATGAAATGTTTAGAGAAACTTTTGTCTTATAGTGACCCATCAACATGTAGTTTGGACTCGTCGACCCGACCCATGGATTCAAGATCCGTGTGTTTTTTCTTTAAAAGGGGGGAAATTGTATTTTCGGTCCCCCTATTTTTTAAAACATTCATTTTGCCCTTTTAATTCAATTTTACCCCGAATTCCTCTTAAAATTGACCCCAATTTTACTTTTCTTTTAATTTAGCCCTTTCAATATTATTAATATATATTTTTTATTATTTTTATTTTTATCATTTTTATTCTTTACTATTTTTCCATTTTTTGGTTTTCTTTTTTATTATTTTCTTTTTCTCTTCCCCTGACGTTATATATATATATATATATATATATATATATATATATATATATTACTTTATTTATTTATTTATTTGTTTGTTTTTTTTCCTTTTTTTCCTTTTTTTTATTTTGTCTTTTTTTATTAAATACTACATTTTATTATATATATATATATATATTGTTTTTGGAAGCTTTCCTCATGTGCAAGCTTTTGGTTTAAGATAATCTAACTGTTCAAGATAAGATCTTCCATATATATTAATTTTGGAAACTACAAAGAGAGAATGAACAGTAGGTGTTGCACAAGAGATTAAGCTTTTCTCATGTGTAATTGTTGAACCCCATGTTTTATAATGTTTTGATGTAACAATTTAAAGCAAAAATGTTTTTGGACTTGATTGAATTTGTTCAAAGTTTTCAAAAGTTTTCAAAAGTTTTCAGAAATAATTCAAAGTCTATTAATCTAGATTTTGAGCACAAAATGGTTTTATAGGTAAGAAGTATTAATACTGTTCTTACAATATCCATATTGTATGAACAATACCGATACTATTCACGTGGTACCGATACCGAAGGTAAGAGAAGTATCGATATTTAAGAGAAGTATCGATATTCTCTAGGTAGTATCGATACTACCAGTTGTTTTCCAAATTGTTCAAATTCCAAAATGCAAAATAGGCACCGATACTACTTTACACAGTAGTATCGATATAATGAGCATAGTATTGATACTAGTCAAGCCCAATGGCTAGTAACAGCTAGTTGATTTAAATATTATAAAGGAAGTACCAATACTCATTAAAGGAGTATCGATACTCCCTGTCCTAGACAATTTTATTATGTAGAAAAATTATCCCCAATGGCTCCAAATCATCCCCAACGGCTACAAACGGCTACAAACACAGTCCAACATATAAAATCAAGTTGAGGACACTTGAAGAATGGTTAAAAAACCTATCCAAGCAATCAAATATAAGAGAATAGTTTTTCACTCTTTATTTTCTTTCTCTTGTAAATATTAGTATTTTAGTGATGTTTTCTTGTTTACATTCTTTTTACCTTTTTAAAGGGGATTGGTTATAGTTCAGCCAAGTGAAAAACTAGGGAGTTACAAAGGTGAACTCTTTATCCTTGAAAAAGAAAGAACAAATTAATGGATTTGTTAGAAAATCCTAAGTGAGGAGCTTAGGTAGTAGATGTAGACTTGGTTGATAAGTCGAACCACAATAAATCTTTGTGCAAATTTCCCTATCTTTATACTCCTTACTCCCTAAACTTTAAATTACCAATTCAACCCCTCTTGGCACATTTTTGGTTGTTCAATTAAGCTCATTAAATCTTAACAATTGGTATCAGAGCTTGACTTATTAGAAGGTTTAATAACCTTAAAACGATCATTGAAGAAGCTCTACCGATTTCAGACGCAACCGAGAATATGGCTTCGACCTCCGGCTCTTATTACATTGAAGTTTCTCAACTGGTCAACAAGCCACCTTATTTCAATGGAGCAAATTATGCCTATTGGAAGAATAGGATGATGCTCTTCATTCAAGCTAACGATTTAGGAGCTTGGAACTCAATCATTAAATGATACTCTATTCCAAAAGATGAGATGGATGATTGGAATGATAGAGAGAAGAAGAAGTTCCAACTCAATACAAAGGCAGTATTCTCAACCATAGAGTCTCATTTTGTTCTAATGCCAAGGAGATTTGGAACAAGCTCCAATTCACTCATGAAGGAACCAATGAAGTGAGGGAACCAAAAGCAGTATTCTCAACCATAGCTATGAGAATTTCAAGATGAAACCGGATGAGACATCAAGGCTATGGCGCATAGATTTTTCGTGATTGTCAACGGTCTCAAGGGATTTGGAGAAGTAATCCCTAATGAGAAGCTTATGAGGAAGATGATATACTCTCTTTCAAAGTCTTGGTAATCAAAGAAGACGATGATTATCGAAGATAAGAACATAAAGTCTCTCACTCTTGATGAGCTTAGTGGTTCTCTTGGCATTCATGAGTTGATAGTGAAGGAAGAAGAAGAATATGAAGAAAAGAAAAACAAGAAGAAGAATGAGGCAGGCATTGCCTTCAAATCCACCAATGAGAAT